CGTTTGCAAACTTGTTGATAGATAAGACACATGGATTCTGTTACAACAAAAGTTATGAGAATAAAAATGTATAAAAGTTGTTGGTTCTGGTAACATGCTACTTTCATTGACACATATAATGCAACCCATTGGTTGTTAAATGTTTTTCCTTTGACAATCAGATGTACTGTATTTTGTTACTATTATATCTTTGACTGCCGTCCCATCAAATAAGAACTTATTTATTGTATTGTATTAACTGATTGTATTTTTTCTTATAGCAAAGTCTGGTTTCAGTAATTTTTCGAAAAAAGCTTCATAACATAGAAAACTACAGGTAGGCCTAAAACTACTTACTTTTTCATAGACTTATGCAGGCAGCTGTATATTTGTATGTGTTGGTTATAGTCAAAATGTTGATTCAATAACTTCTGCCTATTTTTCCTCAGTTCAGAGTTAAGAGAAATTCCAAACCTTCATACAATCCTTCAGAGAGCAGTTCAGCGAGAGAGGCAAGATAAAGGACGCTGTGCTGCTGCTGTGTGAATGAGGAGCATTCAAGGGGCCCCCAAGAGGGATGGGGCCCTTTGGAGATCAGATCTCTTCATGTGCTGTATTATGGACCAGCAGCTTTGCTTGCTATTTTTGCTCTTGCTTTCAGTATGTTACTGTGCAAAATACTGTTTTTGGCTTCAGTATTAACACCTTATTTCAATTCTTATTCAGAACTCACCAAAGCATGGTTGTGCAGGTGCATGTTGCTCGACTGAATATGGTCTTAACCACCAGATGACGCTCCTGCTCCACACTGCGGGATCTGAACAAGCCACCAAAGTGCAGGATACACAGAGAGAGACGCTGGTGAGCAGTGAGCGTGCTTCAGGTAAGTCTGCATGGAGAATACTGCAACTACTCAACACACACTGTGGCGTGATCACTGTGTCTGATCACCTGTTTATCTGAAGATTGAAACACCAGCGCTCTGTGCGTCATGCTCCAACATGTGCTGCGTCTTTGTGTTGGTGAAGGGGGGTTACGCGTGGGTTGTGCACGCGAAGGGCGTGCGTGTAACCCTCCCACCCTCCTTCCATCCAAGAACTTGCACATGCCTCTCAGTCAGTTTACTTTGAGCTGCATGTTTCCATATTGCAAACGCAGAATTAAGTCAGTGCAGAGAAATTTAGCTGTATATTTGAAAATCTTCCTTGGCACTCGTTTCCTATGATACAGAGGGACGCACAGTAATTGGGCTGCACATACAAGACATGATGTACAACAAGTGTTAGTTTCAAATAATCCACAAACATACAGTACATGGTGCAAAAAAAAAATATTTGCAACTTTATTTCATTACATATCTTTATTTTAAAATCAAATTAAATTTAGTTTTTTTTTTTTTTTAACCTGGATACATCCATATACCCCAGTGACCAGGTATGTCCCTATCCCCAGTTTTCCAGTCTCAGCTGAGTCCACATGTGGACTGAGTGCAGGTGCCAGTCGCCAAAGAACAACTGTAATTTCATCCAAATGTCACAAGTAATATTTTGGACCGAAATCCCATTCAGAGTCATTCACTGTGAAGCAGCCTTGGCGCTTCCAGAGGTCACTTCCATGCCTGTGCAGTTCATTATTTTTCGACCTTTGACACTGCTTGTGTATGGGCCAGAATTAAAAAGGCGTATTCTCTATAGCGCACTGAAAAAGGCAAGCAGGGCACGGTGCGCGCGTTGAATATTCAATTAGAGGAGGGGGACTGGGGCAAAATAAGTGGAGCTGCGTGCCAGTCCTTCATCTTACATTACTGATTAGCTGTTAAACAGATTATATGCAGCTGAATGGGTTCAAATGTTGCAGCAGGAGAAAACGGGCGCAGTTCAAGGCGCTGACGAGCGGTTTTCTTCGCTGCCACTCGAGCAGGCTGGACACACTTTGTCTGCGCTAACAGCTCCGTAATGATACATGTTGCTGTTCCATTCTCCCCACTTTCCCCACAGTCATGAAAACAAACACAGAGAGCGACTCAAACTGTTTCCACTCTATCAAGATGTAAAGATAAAGCTGTGCCAAAATGTAGAAGAAACCACCTGATATAAAGATTTACTATAAATATTCAGTCACCTTCTTGATGTTGAAGCACAATTACAACTTAATCATTTCCATATCACAAAAACCTGCTCAGATTTCTGTTTACTTCTGCGTATTCAGAATATATCGATAAACAATTTTCCTCCATTAAAAAACAGCTGCACGTATAATTAAAAACGTCATAACACATCATAAAGTCACATAATGTAAAGTTAAACGTGCATCAAACTATTAAATCGTGTTTGAAATATGTCCTCGTTTTAAAAAAGTCCGTTATTTTCCAAACATAACTCAGTTCTCTATGTGCACAGGCGAAGCTGGAGGCATGGAGCAGCAGGGACTTGTCCTTTGAAAACAAGAAAAACAAACACGTTATTAATGTGCTATAGTGTTTAAAAGTTTACAAAGTGTTTTGTTAAACTTGGTAGGTTAACACATTTGGTTTACTACACACATTTATTCAGCGGGAGAAGTGTAAAGTAGCTCAATGTGCAGTGCCACAGCAAGCCACGCGGGTCCTAAAGGAGCTCTCATTGAGAAGCCACGTGTCCGTTTCCAAAGCCTCTCCAACTTAACCACCTCCTTTGTACGACTAACCCACATCGGCAGCGTCCCTCCACATAAAGGGATTTGCAATTTCAAGATATTTCAGCTTAAATGTTTTTGACAGTTCCCTCGCTTTTACCTCGGCTTGGTTATTTTAACTGTGCCAAATGGGTCACCTTGGGTTGCTGTCTGCGCGCAAAGGGCTTTTGCGCGCATTCAGTCTGAATTTTTTCCAACTTTCCTTGACGGGGAAACCAGCTGCTGGTCGTGAAAAGACGGCTTATTAATTGTCCTTTGTCATGCAGAATTGCTTGATTTCTAAAGAAACGTACAAAGGCTCTTTTTCAGGATTCAAGTATTTTGTTTCGTGCGTATTTTCAAACCATCGAATCAGCTGCAGCGCCGCGCCGTCTACCAGACTCTCAGGTACTGACTGCCTGCTCCCTTTGTCCCCTTTTAATGCTGTTGTAAATCGTGCAGACTGATTTGTTACAAGCTGTTCTTTTAATCTGATAGATAAGAGACATGTCAAAGAAAAGCCGTAAATAAAAAATTAGGCTGAATAAAGACAAGGGCGAGTCTGCTAGATGGGCGCCTGTTGACTCAAGCGGCTCTCCAGCGTCAGGGGAGCCCTCTCCTCAGCTCCGTCAAGGTTACGTCCACAATTCCCCTTTCTTCTTTTTAAAAAGACACCGTAGTCCTTTTTGCTTCAATGAATTGATCGGCACAAAATTAAGAATAAATAAATTGAGCATTTGGAGCACCGAGCGTATAAGCTCCCCCAGGGCGCATACCCCCAGGCTATTGAATGGATAAAGGGCGCTTTGGAGAGGACGTTGTGAGCAAAATGGGGCTCTATGGTGCAATTAACAAAATAGTCTAATCCCATATCTTAACAAATGCAAATATTAGAGTTTTGTTAAAATAGTTAAGTGAACAATTAAATGAAAGTTTACAAGTGAAACTTCGCGTCCAGAAAAGGCACACTGATGCAGATAATGTGCTGTGCGCCATTTAAGAACAGTTTTACACCCTTTAAAAAAGTCCAGAGATACATTTCCAAGAAGGTAAATATCATTTAAACCCTATTCAACGTAATAAATATAATTTTGAGAACCAAAGCTTCTGTCAGAGAGCAGCTGTAGCGGTGCGTAAAACAGGCGAACAAAAGTGGAACCATAACGCCAAACTACTGGTTCGGTATATTTAGAGATGTTTTAGTGTTCACACGACATATTTATTTAAATAACAGTAAAAATATAATAAACTATATTCATTTTAGACCATTTTAACCTGAGGAGCCCATACTTATCTCGCTCAAAAGTTTAAATCTATGTTTGAAAATGCTGCGTCTTATATGACTTGGACTACTTCCGAATTTAGTGTCTTAAAATATTTAAAATTAAAATTCTAACTGAATCTTAATGACTAATTCAATTTGTAATCGTAAAATCTGAACTGTAGAAGCTCATTGTGAGTCTATAACCCACCTGGAGCTCATAAAACCGACAATAAACTTGATCACACTGGTGCGTTAACAACGTGAACAATACGGGTCATGGACACCAAACTGTGTCTTTGCCTCATTTATTTTCATGTTAGATCGATATCTTAAGATATGCACACTCCTGATGCACCATTGCACACCCACGGTGATTATTAGCTCAGTCACACGAGACGGATCATTTCAGCTGGGATTCAGCCTGAAAAGAGCTCCAAAGGGCCAGGCAGTGATATGTGAACTGAGGGTCCCCCAGGGGAAGCGCATAAGAGGACCCTCACAACAATGTCTTTATCACCTCTGAGTGATGAAGATTATTAAGCATTTGATTTACTCCTCCAGCTTATATATGACCTAATGTGCCCCTCAGACACACAAGCACATTTTGTTTGCCTCTATTGGGCAGCGCTGCCTGGGAATCTGAGAAATATTATATGTCTTCTTCCCAATACCTTTTGGCTCCATGCGTAAAAACTGTGAAACTCATCAATAACGTCCTCGGGTCTTTTTCTCATAGTGTGAACAGCATTCACCACTAATGCTCATCAGCTTTAATTTCATGCTAGAAAATATGAAAATATATATTTTTAGATACCAAACTGAACTGAATCATCAGTCTGAAATAATGCACTGCACATCCACACATGTTGGCACATGAGACCGCAGCCAGTTACAATGTGTGGTGATTTATTCCATTTTACCATTTTGACCAAACACTTTCACAATGCTTGAAATTTTATGACTTGGTCATCACACTACCTTTTTATTTTGATTTAATTTTCGAGATGTGTCATCGCCCCGAGTTGACGTGCGTCATTGTGCGCACTCGTTGCGCGCAAAGACCAAACATATTTAACTCACACAACAAGTTTGTCTTCCGCTCAGAAATATTTTTATTTAAGTATCAACATTTTTAAATAAATAAATATTTTTCAATTACACTGAGGATATAATTTCAATGTGACAGTGAGGGAATTTGTATCCAGCTTTCCACGTTTGAAGTCACAGTTCCATCCACATAGATTGAATCTGACCAGTATTCACCATGTATACAAAATACTGTCTTCCCCAAAATACTAATGAACAATGTTCCTATTGTTTCTTTCTGTTGTTCATTTGGGTTTGTCTTTACAAATATCCCTTTCATCGGATTGGCAACAACAAATTGACCGTTTTCAGAAAAAAACTACATACAAAACGTACAACATGTATACAGCTATACAATAATTCAGGGTAGTCCCCTGATTAAATATTCTCTGTCTATGTACAAGAGTCTGAACACAAGCGGAACAGTCTGTTTTTGGCTGCATTTAAAATCAGGAGGACCAAAATCTTTCAGAGTGGAGTTCAGGGGGGAGTTCAGGGGGAGACGGACAGGTCTGCATCCTCCTTTTCGGACGAGGACGGGGATATGGGAATGTCATCCTCCTCTTCCTCCGAGCATCTCGCCGTTGACAGGGACGAACACTTGCAGTTATGTGATCCAGTCCTTTGGCCGCTGCTCTTTCCCTCCTTTTTGTGCTTCACTCTGCGGTTCTGGAACCAGATTTTCACCTGTTTCTCGGACAAGTTCAGGTACGTGGCGATTTCAATGCGCCTCAGTCTGGAGAGGTACATGTTGGAGGTGAACTCGCGCTCCAGTTCCAAAAGTTGCGTGCTCGTGAAGGCGGTGCGCATGCGCTTACTGCTCTGAAGTTTGCTGTTGCTGTTTTCTGTGGAAATAGGAGACATTGTCAGTCACTGTGGTTTGATGAAAACATGTGGAATATAGTTTTATCTACTTGTTAAAATGGTAAAAGATTTTCAACTCACCGATGGAGATGCAGTGGAACTGGCGTGGGTCTGGCACCGAGTAGGCAGCTTGGTATATCCCCGGTGCGTGGCTGAGGTTGACGCTGTTGGATGAGGCGTGTTGCCTGGAGAGAGCTGAGTGGCAGTACTGCGAGCTGAAGGGAGGAAAGGATGCTTTGAGGAGCGGCAGTGTCGGTGGAGACGGGTGGAGCTGGGACGCGGCCATGCACAGCGGACAGAAGCACAGCAACCCGGCTTTCCTGGAGTGGCAGGAGCCCGGGAGCCCGTGCGGGTGGTGCGGCGAGTGCAAAGCGTACGGGAATAAAGGCGGGTTGTTCTCGCTCCCCTTGTCGTTGGCCTCCCTTAAAATCAAGGAATCCACAAGAAAAGACCTCGGCATGGTTGCAAACTTTGTTGCTCGGTGCGGGTGAAGAGTTGAAGCCTGCGCGCCGTGTTCGCTGCGTGTGGAGCGTGCTCTCCTCGGGACGGTGGACAGCGAAGTGGTGCTGAAGGCGCACCGCTGCTCCTTAAATAGCCGCCTCGGACTCGGTTCGGCCATGTGACGGTTACGCTGCAAGCGGCCGAGAGCTCTCAATAGGGTTTTGTGCCTTTCTCTCGGCATTCCCACTGCACGCTTCCCTATTATTTCACTTGTTAACTAAATGAACTGCATAATGTAGTCTATTCTTGTCAGCCCCACCCACGCCGCAAGAGGCGGCACTGCCCTATTCTCCCTTTTATCATCACTCTCATTTTATCATATAGAGCACAGCTGAATTTTGCGCCAGAAAACGTTTCTCTCACAGAGACGGTTTCATCTATTCAACTTTTGTTTTAGACAAGGAGCAACATGCGCGTAAAAGACAACTTTTAATAGTGTATAGGCGAGGGAAGGGGGAGAGATGCGCATGGAAACTTTCAGAAAGATGCAGAAGTGTGTATGTACATTTAATACATTTTGAATTAGAGAATCGTTAATTGCTTTTTAATTTCTATGCTCTGTTTTTGGCAGATTTTTTCCTAATTAAACTTACGTCAACAACCCTTTTATGTCTACGCTGTATAACTGTGGTCAGTTATTCGTGCGTAATATGCACACCTATTGGTTTGTGGCCACTTTTAACGACCGTGTCCGGTGCAAACACAAATGCAACAGCTGAATGTAAAGTTTACGCACATCCATTTTGAGGTTAACGTGTCATTTTTGCGCACAAAACCAGGGACAAGTCATCGCCCGGAGGCAGCGCTGTTAAAGAGCAGTGATTAATTCCTTTGCTCGGGCCCCTGCCGAGTCCGAGGGGGGAAAGAATATGTAAAAATAACCAGGTTTTCACTCTGCGGCCCTTATTGAATGTCATTGTGGAGGGTTTTCAATGAGGGAGAAAGAGAGTCGAATTAAAGTGTGTGACAGCGGCGGATAGACGCAACAAAGGCGACTCTGTCATAGAGGAGCCCAGTGCGCGGCGCGTCAAGCCCCCGCCTCGCGCTCCGATTGAATTAAGTAATAGGAAAACATTTTCTTTCACTTTAAGGCTTTTTGAACAAGACCTTCAAAGCGACGGAGCCGTAATGTGTGAGTAAATAGCGGAGTGCGAGTTCTCTTCCTGTGAGTTTTTCTTTTTTTTTTCTGACCGTTCCAAAAGCACAAACGTATGAAAACGTTGTAAAGATGGTAATGATCACGATAAACACGACATAAATAGACCAAGCTGGACCAGCATCCCTGGCAGTGGTGGTGGTGTGTAGCCAATGAATTCACTTATTTCGAGTTATTGCATATGATGTATTCTTTTTTTAGTCATATTTGATCACAACACATTGCAGCAATTTCCACTGTTTACATGTCATCTACATTACTCCCCATAAATTGTCACCTCCTGCAGATTATCTCTTCAGCTCCACATCCCGCCGCAGTGACGCTCTGTTCATTCCTCATAAATAACGGGCCTGTAATGTGCTGATGCAGCTTCACACCACTAATCTCCCATAAAGGCCAGAGCTGTAATTATAGGACCCAGCCATTAAAGTAAAGACACAAATTAGCCGCAGTTAAACCCCTTCAACGAGATTTAACGACATCTAGTTATTCGGGTAAAAACCTGTAATATTTGCCATTTCCATTTATAATGCGTCAAATTCATGAAACATAAACACGAATCTATTGCTTTTATTCACATTCCTAATTAGGTGAAATGTTATTATTATGCGTCACAATATGTGTTATTCTCATGAGGGGTTTGCCGGTGTATCCTCTGAAGCCCACAATAAAATAGGCATAATGAGTGTGTGTTCCTTTTCCTCCGCTGCAGGTTTAAAAAGAATTACGCACCGTGCTCCATCTCTCTTCGCAGCCGCAGGTTGCCTGTATGCGGCGGCAGCAGCTTGATGTATCGCTCCACATAAAGATGTTATCAAAGGCCCTAATTTTCAAATTATGTACAGCAGTCACCCCGTGGATAGGAATAGAGGTTTCATGGGTCGTCACGCAGGGGAGGCTCATCCTAATTTGCAATCCCAACTGGAGACTGACAAATAGTTTTGACCTCCCTCTGGAGGCGCGGGCCAGAAGTGCAAAGAATCCCATTCGCCATAATCACTTGTTACTGAGATAAATAATCAAGGGAAATAGTCCACTCACATTATAACAACTCTATTACATTTCCCTCCACCATCTCCTACAAAGATAAACATCTACAGCCACTTATAGGTTCATGAATCATCACATCCATATTATGTGTGTGTGTCCCCCTCACAAACCAATGAGCCTGTAACTCAGCTCAGCTTCATGTGTTCAGTAACTAACATACAGCTGTGAGTTGGCAAAGCTTCTTAGCGTTAATGTTTGATGGGGGAAAGCAGTGCCCCTGAAATAGTAAATTATTTATAAGATATTAAGTTGGAACAATTGCCATCACTCAAATTCATCCCCGATGATAACACTGACCAGTGCCTGCTGTGCTGCTGCAGAAGCACATTTTCAGGGGCTTTTATGCAATTATACCCAAAGATCTCGTGCCTGATGACATAAAGAGAGCAGACTGTTTATGGAGATGTAGTCAATATCTCCTTTTCTTTTTGGTATGAATAATTCATAGTTTAAGACACTATCCCCCCTCACTTAATATGTACACACACTTAAACACCCACACATCTCTAATACAAATGATGGTTTTAGCTGACAGTGTAACAGGATTTAAGGTCCCAGTGGGGTTTGGCCCAGCCGTGGATGGGCGCTGTGACTGTCGACGTGACACAGAGGGCCGGCTGCCCCTCCTAATCTCCCCCTGAGGCAACATCACAGACCGCAGATCCTGCTGCACCTCTATGGACACACAAAGGCCTGATTATCATTCATATGCTCACCAGAAACACCAGTCCAATAGATAACAGATGACACATAAGTACCGGCTGAATGGTGCAATATGTTTAGGCTGCTGGAGTCTATAGGGACTAATGAATCCTTAAGAGAGAGGGAAGCTGACAAAGAGATGCAGTCGGTTGAGGCGCCAGAACATGACAGATATAAGGCTCCACAGGTGAATGTGAACTTGATGTTGCATTTTAATGATTTAAAGCACTGATATCTAAAGTGTTATGAGGCTCATCAGTGACTGATAACATCTAGAAATTGGAGGCGTTTTGCTGATTAGTTTGGGATGAAGAGATATTTAGTGAAAGTGATCGTTTCAAGATGATAATTATGTAAAAGTAGCGCTTAACTCAACAAGGCCTCACAATTAAAGCAGATCAAATAGCATTTTTATTTTACCTGAGGTCACAAGAAAAGGAATCCAGCCTCCCTTACCACACAGGGAAGTGTCTCATGTTGGATTTCTTTAATTTACTTTTACATAATTATCATCTTGAATTGATTACTCATCACAAATATCACTTCATCCCTAAATAATCAGCAAAACTTCTCTAATAGCAGGCACTGTTCAAAATGATAAAATATTACTTATACATGTTTGAAAATGTGGTCTCGCTAAAAAATAAGTGAAAATGTTCTGTCATGTTTCCCTTCTACCGTGTTGAATTGTGACACTTGATGGGTCGATTTAGGAATTGAGTTTATTCTGATATTTAACCTAAACAAACTTTGTTTAAAAGTACAAAACTTAAACAACAATTTCAACAAGTCAAAAGTAGGTGAGGAAAAACTTCGACCATATTTGCGCTGCTGTAAATTTGATTCACTGTTCCTGAGATTAATTTACTCCGACGAGTTTCATTCAGAGGAAACCAGGATCAGAACTGAATTCAAAAAAGTTTAAGGGTAGAAACAGTGTAATTTTTGTTACATGCATGATTCACTCAAACACAATTAGTTTCTTGACAATTAATTTCTGAGTGAACAGGAGAAAATCTCTCACTGACAATCAGAGAATAATGAGGTGTTTCGATAAAACAAACAAATTCTCACAAATTCCAGCAGAGAAATGTATTTATAGTTGCCACCTTCAAATAATAATCGAGGCGACAGTAACTTTCCACTCATCACAAGAGCAAAGGACAACTAATATTTTTCTACTGTGCTTTTTTTTTTTAACTCACTTTGTTCATTTCAGTCTATTCCAGGAACAGCGATGATAAAGCTGAGACTGGCAAAAATAAAAAAAATGCAATGTTGACGTCAGCTGGTGAAAGTGGTGGAAATAGATGTGTAGGTGGTTATTGAATCTGTGGTGGACAGAGTCATTATGGTTTATAATGCTGCAATAACATGGATAACTTTTATTCTTTTCTTTTTATTTCAGACCACACAAGAGAGGCACTGATTTTTGGTTTCTCCACATTCAAAGTAAAGAAAGGAACTGGGAAGGTGTGAACAGGAAACAGTGAGACTTGTCCTCTTTTTGTTTGTGTATGTATGTGTTCTCTGAATCTCTGCCATCCTGCAACAGGCACATTCATAATATTCAGCAAAGTCCCCCTATAACACACCTGCTGATCATCAGTGACCTGAGCACTAACATCATCATTATATGTTAGTGACATTATCATCCTATAACCAGCTTGTATCTACATGTGTAGGAATAAGGCCGAGCTGCTGCCTCAGGTGTTTGTGTCTGTGTGTGTATGTTTAGTTATTTGAAAAAAAGGACAATGCACATTAATTAACATGCATAAATGAGCTCAGCATGTAAACGTGCCAGATTTAGCCACACAGGCATGTTTTCATCTGCAGTCCCTGGCAGGTTGATGGTAAAAGTCATATAAATAACAAATAGGCTTGTGTATAAAAACACAGACGTACATGCACAGACACAAAGAAAAGCACACAGCACATGGGAAGCAAGAATGACGAGTGAGAACAATATAAAGTCAGGTGTATCATGCAAAATAACCAAGGGAAAAAAACATACTTACCCTCAATAATAAGTGAGATAAGATAAAGAAAAAGATAATGACATGTTTGAGTGCCCATTGACCACTGTGGTATTTTACAGTTGTCCCCTTTGACAGTAGCTCAAAAGTCAAACATAAGTTTTGATCTGGTTTGATTTACTCAAACGG